ATCTCATACATTAAGAAAACAAACAAAACTAAGTGTATATAATTCCTTCATAAAGGCTTGTACAAAAATTAAAAATATAAAGAAACGGAAAAACAATGAACGAAAAACAAACCTGGCAATCCTGAAGAGGTTGAAAGCATGCTATAACTCTAACTACAATGGTGGCGCTCCCTGCAATACCATTTTCGTACTTCAATGCCCGGAATCTAGTTTGGCTAGCTGATTGGCACACCATAACTACGCCCGAAACCCTTCAGTGTGACAAAAAGCAAGAGATCTTCCAGACGACAACGTGTTTAAAATCCGTAACCCAGAACAAAAAAAACTGAAATACCACTACAAAAACTATCCCTACTAAAATCAAAAGACTAACTCCTGGATTATAAATTTGAGATATGGGTTTGAAGGTTTTCAACTGATCCGTAGAACATAACATGGAACTACGACGAAAAAAGTGGATCCCATGGAAGGTTAATACAAAGACAAGAGTGTAAAGAGGAAGGGTACTTGCTAATATAGATTACTGAATTACAGAATCACTCTACAATACAAGTTCAAAGGGATAACTTTTCGAAAGACATCAATGAAAAGACTCAGCCACCACCGCATACTGTTCTTTAAAATCGCCACAGTTCAGTTTCTTAGTAACTCTTTTGCCCCAAAACAACCTATTCAAGAACCCTGCAATGGCCAATATATTCATTATTTTAACATTACATACAAAATTCTAAATGAAGACACGTAGAATTAAACTAATAATACAAAACAAAAACGGGAGAAGACGATAGTGAACAAGTAAAAGAGTTCATTTTCTTAATAACTGAAACTGTTGAGATAATATATGAACTTTTTAAACCTTTAAGATTGGATCTAATTAGGCTTTCTTCCGGTATCCAAAGAATAAGGAAAAATTACATGTAAATAAATTACCCAAAGCTATAAAAATTAGCTAAATATATACGTAAAAATAAAAAGAACAGCAAGAAAATTAAACCGATTAAAACGGATAAATTGAAACTGAAAAGCGTGAGACGACTTACAGAAATGAATTAAGCAGGAGAAAACCCAGAACCCAAATCGAGAAAACAAAAGAAGCTACTTCAAATTGCTTCAATCCTTAAACTAAAGAAACAGAACACTGTAAAACGGAGAGTGAGAAGGTCGAAATATATGGAATGCACTGAAGCTAAGATTACGATTATTATATAGAAATTAAACTGATATATCAAAAATAAAAAAAATAAAAAATAAAAGGTGATTAAAGCTTTGATACGTGCGTGTGTAAGGAGTGCACGCAGGAATTAGTGAACAATAATGAAGCACAGTTTTGAGCCCGTGGGGGTGGGGGTGGGTGTTGGGTGTTTCTGGGGCCCTCCCGGGTGGTTCTATCATTACCCATTCCGGATTCGGGTTTGAATATTTGATTTTCTATTTACATTACATGTGTATAATACCTTTTTTTTTGGGATAATTACATGTGTATAATACCTTTTCTATTACATGGGCATATACTTGAACAGTCTCAAAGAATTGTCTTTACTATTTTTATTCTACAATTTCTTTTTATATAGTTTTAGAGTGAATATATATATATATATAAATATCTATATTCAATTTTTTCTTAAGATAAAATAGTACATACTCCGGGGATATAAATGTCTAAACTCATTTTTCTAAAAAATAATATTTTATTTTATGATTTAAGTCACTTAATAAATATTTTTATTCTATAAATGAATTTAAAATATTTTATTCAAATTATTAATGAATAAATTTTAAGATTATTGCTTATTATAATCCTTAATTAAATTTTTTTTCAGTTTTATCCAACGTTGATTTTATGTTTACTCAAAAAAATTCTAAAACTAATATAAAATATATTTATTAATGTTATTGTAAATTTCAATTTATATTATAATATTTTTAATTATTAATATTTTGTATTTTAACATAAAAATTTATATTTGATTCAATAAATTATAATGCATAGTTACTAGTTAGTTAAAATATATTATATATTTATTTGGAATAATTTATTGGCTTTCTTTCTTTATAATAATAATTATTTTATTTTGCAAACTAATTCAATTCTCACACACATATATATAGAAGACTGATTCTAGTGATACTTGCTCAAGGATGAAATGAAGCAAGCAATAGCAAATAAAGAAAAACCATACCATCACATCATTGTGAGGTAAAAGGTATTTGATTAACTCTCAAGTGAATTTGAAAGGTTGAAAGGATAACAACTCGTGCAGATCACTAAAAACCGAGCAAAAAACTTGAATTCAGCTACCTTTTTAAGCATGTTCAAAACAACTAAATAACAGTAAATACTAGCTAAAAGTAGATGGCATCCAATGTTTAACATGAGTCTTGACCATTCAAAGCATGAATCATACAAAGATGATGGTACCCTTTTCCCGCCCATCAATATTGGGGTTCTTTTTCTTCCTATTTTTATCACTTCATTATGATTATTTTTGTTTTTTTAAAATTATATCACAATTTTGTATAAATTATTTTTGTAATTTAATTTTATTATAGAAAGCTAATATTAAAATAGAAATGTTATGCCCTTCTTTCATTAGTTATATTGTGGCAACTTGCAAACTGAAAAAAAAATTAAGTTAATTCAATTATTTTTTATATAATTATTTTTAAGATTTTGTATCGTATTCATTTATGATTCAAGTTCCTACATTTATAACTAGTAACTCTTTTTGTCCTTAAATAAGAGTAATTTTATAAAAGATTAATTCCAATTTTATTATTTTTATTCAAAATAAGTATAATTAAAAAAAAGTGTAATGATGAACTTTGATAAAATTAAAATAAACTAACAAAAATTCAATAATAATTTACTATAATATATTAAGTAAAGTGAGGTAGGGGCAAGGTTTGCAGTATGCACCCCAAAAAGAATAAGTTAAAAGTGGGAAGACCCATGATTTAATCACCTGAAAAAGAGATCTTGTGCACAGATGAAGATCCACTGTCCACAGCTCTAACTTAATTTTTAGCATTATTTATTGTCAAGCCGTTCAATATGTTCTTTTAATTAATTAATATATTATTTTAATTATAAATTTTAGATTATCATTTAATATAACATTAGTAGAGAATGATTTTTACGGATACAATTAAGATCCTGTCAAATGTTATATATATATATATATATATAAATTTTAAAAATAAATAAACAAAACATTTGTCATGTAATTTTATTTATAAAAAATCATTTACGGTGTCATTGAATTTGATAATAATCCAAACTTTATTTATTACTTTTAACATATAAAATACAGAAAGCTAATTATAGATAATGAATTTTTTAAAATTATTTAAATTAACGAAATTTGTAGATAACTTTCATCATGCCATGTTGTTAGGAGTGGAGGGAACAATCACAAAGCCCAATCAAGCTTTATCCTTCCTTTTGGTAGCACTAAAGCTACTCTCCCCCACTACATTACGCATACTATATTATACATGTATGAGATGTAAAGCAAAGGATTCCTCTTTATTTCTTCCCCACGTTTCCATATAATCATCACCTTCAAATTTCACAATCTTTCTTTCTATTTGAATTTATAAGTTTTTTACTTTTTAGTAGCATTTGCTCCTTATCAACTTTTAATATATTATTTATCCGATAGAGTTTTGTTGACGATTTAATAAGACGTAATGCTTTGATTATTTATTTCCAAAAAATATATATATTTATACTTTTAAGAAGAGACCCTCATATAAAAAGGAACGGTTAAAAATCCCCTAATAGGTGGGAGGAGGTTCTCTATTTGTTGGGAAATAAAATTACCATTTTATCTTTAAAATTATAAATTTAATTGTAGAATGACTCACGATAATACTAAACAGAGACACAGGTGAGTTTTGGTGACACATTATTTATTACAAGTATAACAAATTTCAAGATATAAAACCCTTAGTTATAAGCAATCGCTACATTTACTGAAATAAACCACATTGTTATAGCACGAGACTAAAGACAATATGGGTGAGAACATTTCATGTATTGAAACTTTTTCAATAAAATAGTATTAATCATCAAATGAGAGGTGGTATAAAAGAGACATTGTTGTGGACTGACCACTGAACCGAAAGTCCTCCAATTTCATTCCTTTTAGTTTTTAATTTTTTTTGGAAGCTTTACCAACCAACCAAAGAAGGGATGATTTGTGTAATCCACCCATCACACAACACATTAATTTCACCACACATTGGCAGTGGGTTAGTTCACAAGTTTAACACATTCAAATTATACCGGATTTGGAAAATACTTTTACTATTCAGCCTATTCCGTATAATTCAATTTACATTTTTTTTTGCTTATTTCCAATTCAAATATTACCTAATACAAAATCTCGACGCTTGGAAAAGTCCAATTAAAATAATATTTGTTAAGGGAGAAAAATCAAAAATCAAAAGCCCAATTAAAATAAATATTCAAAAATAAAATCTCCATGTTTTCTGCCACTAAAACTTGTTTACAAAAGAAAAGGCGACGGGCGTGATTACCCCCTTCTTTTTGGTCAGAGAGCTAACGATAACGTTCACACAACGGCTTCTTTTTAATATATATTGAATAAATTCATTTTGTTAAAAAATAATACCATTTCATTAGCAATAAATTTATTTAAACAATTGATCCGATTCATTGTACGTTTTAAATAGGCCCTTAAGTATATAACTAGTTATTTATTTATGCTTCTTTTTGTATACTTTTCCCTCAAAAGCAAAAGATGGAGGGGAAAAGGAAACTCCTTTTTTGGAGCGGCCATTAAATATAATAACAAAAGGTAATATAGAGGTTTGATTGGTGGGACATTGGTTGTGGATTCTCCCACAAAACATCCACGCCCATAAAGCTTCAAACATTTTTTTTTTTTGGATAAATAAGCTTTTATTTCCAAAAGAGCAATGTTGCTACAACAAACATCCCTAAAGGGAGAACCAAATACTAACAACAAAAATGGTTAGTCAATGCCCCAATAATAGCATAGAATACAATTAACATTATCAATTCTATTGATATTTTTGCCTCTAAATTGTATTCGGACCAGCTCTTTGATGGAAGACAGAACTTGATCGACTTCTCTGGAGCCACGATGGTAGATTCTTCTATTTATCTCCTCCCATATTAAGTAGATGAACGAAGTCCAAGCTAGTTTCAAGATTGTAGTAAGAAGGGATTTACCTTTCCATTCTTTACTAGCCCAACAAATCTTTTCTTCCCATGTCATGTGTGGAACATGCAGTTGAGAAAGATTAAGAATGGAGCTCCAAAGTGATTTAGCAAAGCTGCATTCAGAAAATAAATGGTCCCTAGTTTCATTAGTCTCATTACATAGCACACATCTACAATCATTGACAATGCCCATCCAAGACAATCTTTCCCGAGTTGGAAGTCTGTCCAAGATGGCCATCCAAGCGATCATACTGAATTTTGGTATGTGAGAAGGGAACCAAATGATTTTGTGCCAATTAACTTTGATTCTTTTTTCTCTAACAGCTTCCCAAACATCTCTAGTAGTTTTAGTTCTTGCATTGAGAATGGGGAGTGCAGTGGATCTAAGTTTCAGAAGTCTCTTTATGCTCCAGCTATGGGAAACTTTCCCTGCCATGTCTTTGAAATCTTCATTCTTAATTACATAGCAATGTAACCAGGCGACCCAGAGGGACCCGTCTCCTGCGAGAATATTGCGAATTAGCTGGACCATGCATGCTGTGTTCCAGTCTTTGATGTTTTTCAGGCCTAAGTCACCTTCAGATTTAGGGCAGCAAAGTTTAACCCAGCTGACTCTAGCTCCTGCAGCTGGCTGGTCAGTTCCTTTCCATAGAAACCTGGAACAGAGTTGATTAATGCGATTTAAAATAATTTGGGGAAGATTGAATTGCCTGCACCAGTAGTTAGCCATACTGCACAGGACCGTTTTAACTAATTCAAGTCTACCAGCGTAGCTTAGGAATTTGCTCGACCAGTGGTGAAGTTTAAGCTTAATTCTTTCAATGAGAGGCTGGCAGTCATGTTCAGACAGTTTTTTGGTTACTAAAGGAACCCCCAAATACCTAACTGGAAGGAGACCTTCTTTGAAGCCAGATATGTTTTTGATAATTTGAAGATTCCGAGAGGAAATACCAGCTGCAAAGAGTTCTGTCTTACTTACATTAAGTTTAAGCCCAGACATGTGATAGAAATGATTGAGGACAGAGATAATTCCAGCAATTGAATCAGGGTTTCCTTTGCAAAAAATTAATAGATCGTCTGCAAAGGATATGTGGGTTAGGCCTAACTTTTTGCATTTAGGGTGGTACCCAAAAATCCCTTTGGCAGCAGCGAGATTCAGAGTTTTACATTATAAAGTGATTTGGTTAAAACAAATATTATTTTAAAAAAAATTGCTCTAGCAGTTATATCTACATAATATATATACATTATCAATAATTAATAAAAATTCTAAAATATTAAAATTTGATTGTCAACCCCTCATCCCTAACTACTCTTATAAAATGAGTAGAGGAGAGTAAATTAGGCCTTGGAATTGGAGTTGGAGGCGTGCCATCATTAAACACGTGCAGTTGTTGCAATCTTAATGGATTTTTTTCTTCTTTTGAGGAGGAACCATTTCCTCCGTTAATACATGACATGAGAAGGAATCAAGACATATGTTCAATCTTTTTCCCTTCATGCTTCAACATTACTCTTTTCATACTAATAAAGATTGGAGTATAATTAATGAGCAGTTGCATCTGTTTTTTTGAGTAATTATAAGAGCATTTAACAATCAGTCCCCGCTTCAACATTACTCTTTCCGACCACAAAATGTACTTGTTTTACTTTGAGGTACTAGTTGTTTTAGTTGAGTTCAATGTTGTAAAATCAGGTGGATTCGGCTGATTAAATCTGAAATTATATATCAAATTCTAAATACATCTCTCAACCGAGAATATTTCGAATTTGGAGATCTAAAAAAATTAAAATAAAAAATCCAATAAATTTAATTTTAAAGTTGTTTATGTAGAAAGATTTACTGCATGTGATAAAATTTGGACATTTTAATTTTTTTTAATATTTAACTTTTTTAAATATTGTACGTAATCGACAACTATTGCATATGATAGAAAGACCTAAGGAAAATAGTTTTAAACTCTCGTGTTTGGTAGTATTAATAAATAAGAAAATTTTAATTATTTTATATTTTTTAATAAATATATGTCTATAATATAAAAAATAAATTAGTAAGAGATCAAGTGAAAAATAAGAATTCTAATTTATATATATATTTTTTATCTCTTTCTTCAATTTAAGTCATGCTAGTAGTTAAAAATGATGTAGGATCAAATATTTAAATTTTTTGAATTATTTAAATATAAATTATCTAAAATATGAATCTATTTTTTATTTTTAAATTATTCTAGTAATATTATTAAAATCTATATTTAAAGATGCAGGATCCAATTACATAGCGTAAAACTAAAAAGTTTTACACATTTTTAAGATCGTTATATAAGGGAAAATCAAAGATTGAGATAAATAGTAGGAAATGTGAAGATATTCACTGGGGGAAAAATAATGAATTAATCTCAACCTTTGATTTTTGCTCATCTAGCGATCCTACAAATATGTAAAACTAAAAGTTTTACCCTACATTTAAGTGGATCCTAACTCATATTTAAATTAAATATTATTATTCATCAATTATTTGGATTCGCGCAAAATTAAATTCAAACTTTTTAAAAAATATATATTAAATATTTAAATCCAAATAAATGCAAATATGAACCTATTAAAAATTATATGACCAATATTTAAATTCCTTAGTAACAGATATATATATTTTTATTCTATAATACGAAATCAAATTAAGAATTTGTATTGAACATGGATTTGTTTTTGTCATTTGTCTTTCCTCATTAAATGTTTACACAGTAATTAAGGTCAACAATACAGTGAAGTAATAATGATGTTGACTTTGATTAACAAACCTTATTCCCACTTATGAATTATGAGATGGGTTAGTGCATAAGTTGGACTTAAGTTGGTATTAAAGTTGCATTATTATTATTATTATTATTAGTGAAGGAAGACCAGTTAAGTTGCCTAAAACACTTGGTCATAATTGAGGTTAGTTTAATCAACAAAATATCTGTCATTACAAAAACAATACTTGTCTTCATGTTCCCTAATAAATAAATCAAAATCAAGTTATTATTACTAATTTCCTATTTAATTAAATCTCATATAAAAAAATATTAAATAATAATAATTTATTTTAAAATATAAATTACAATACATAAAGTACACAACTCTCATCACTTGTGAATCCTAAGATAATTGTGTTGAAATGAATTCAAATTCAAAATCTATTATATGTTGAAAAATAATGATTCTAACTGAACTAATGCTTAATAAACAATATTTTTATCTTTGGATTATAATAATATTCATATTTGATTATTTGTGAAAAATAAAATTATTTTGATTGTTTTACGTGGATATAAACTATAAGTCGAGCCGCGAATTAATCTATATCTATACATATACATTGTTATACTTTCTTCCAAACCATTTCCATAAATAGTTTTGTTGAAAATTAAAATATATGAAGTATTATAAAGTTTAACATTTTATTGAATCGTTAAATTTTAATTGTGATCATATTTTTTTCTAAAATTTTACTTAACTACATAAACTAATAGAGTATAAACTTCTAAAGTGAACGATTTAACACGCTTTCATAAGTAAAAGGAAAATTCTAAAGTGAACGATTCAACACACTTTCATTGTAGTATTAGAGTATAAACTTTTGCTCTCTCTAACAATAGTAATATTATTTGATCAGATCATTGAATCATTTATTGCTCTTGAAATCTCTTTAGTTTTTATTTTTGCACACATCTTTTTTAAGGGGTCTACAACTATTATGTGATATATGAGTTACATCCCATACGAAGTGTAATAGCATACCACTTGTATGAATAACTCATAATGTTACGTATTTCTACTGGTTTTATTATTATTAGAAATTTTACCGAAATATTAAAAAATATTAATATTTCAAATAGAAATAATAATTTTTTGATAATTTTTTTATCAAAAATATTAAAATAATATAATAAAATCAATAACGCTTTTTATTAATTATATATTAAAACTGTCATGTGATAAAACTTTTGTTAAAAAGCACTTGAAATTTTGCACGCATTTGGCTCGCGCTTCCATAACAATGAAATATTGATTTGTTATTTAAAAAAAAAAACTGAATGTGGGTGGTCAAAGTGTTGTTAAATGGCGTACCGAATGCCATGCACGCGAGAGGTTAAGGTGACAGGCGGGTGTACGGAGAGATTTAGGAGGACAGTGATCGATGACGGATACGTGTGTTAGGATTTGGTTTTTTAACCCAACAAATGCGGCTTCTACGGATGTGTAGCCGCCGGTGGCGTGCCTTATGACATATTAGAATTTGTTTGTCTTTTCATTCTACGATTATCCACGTACTTTGCATTGAAATATTGCAAATGAAGAAAATAACCAAAAAGATTTTTCATTTCGGACTTCGATTCATACACTCATTTATGAATATTAAAGGGTCTTGTACTACAAAAAAGAAACAGAGAAAAAGAAAGTGATATGGTTGTTAGCTTTTGGGCCATTGGGAGTCACAGTTTTTCAAGCACCGAATGTACTACTATCACCGGACCGAAGATGGGCTGCCATCTCATTTCAAGTACAAATATACGTTTGATATAGGTGCAAGACATGTAAACTAAAAAAAAATGAAGAATCAAAGCAACATAAAATAATCCATGATGAACATGCTAGCACAGTTTCATAGTTTTCATTAAGTCCACCAAAGAGTAAATCATAGAAGAAGTATGATATAAATTAATCAAAATTATGGCTTAAGCTAGGGATGGCAAAAAAATCCGAACCCGACGGGGAAAATCGAAAACCGAATTAAACGGGGACGGGAAAAAATCGTTTATGTTAAACGGAGACGGAGACGGGGAAAACTGTTTATGTTAAACGGGAATGGGACGGGTTTAGTAATCCCCGCCCCGATTACCCGGCTTCGATAAATATTAAAAATAATTATTATATATATATATATATAATATTAATAAATTTAATTTAATATATATATATATATATATATATATAATATTTAGATATTTAATTTAAATATATATACCCGGCCCGATACCCAGCCCGATACCCGTTTAAATAACCGTTTATCCTAAACGGGTATATCCGTTTTTCCGCGATTTTCCTCGATTACCCGATGGGGATCCCCGTTTATAGCTTAAGTATATGTTCACGTATGAATCGAATAAGAATCATTCATCACTCAAAGTAGGAAGTCAAAATACGCATAATCCTCGAATTGCTTAAGCCTAGACGAACCTCTATTAAAAATTCAAATATCCCCTCTGAACAAAGATTTCTCCATAAAGAAACATCATACATGGTATAAGTTCAAACAAACTAAATCTTCGGAGAGACAGTCGCAAATTCACCAAAATCAAAACTAATAGCTTTTATAAGCTAAAAATTATTATCTACAAGTCTCCTTCCCTTCTGTTGCCATAATTTTTCTTAGCACCCAAACATAAATCTAAATGCAGAAACAAACCCTAAGAACAACAACAACAAACAAATTAACAAAAGGAATTAAACAAAACCTCGTCAGCTTCTTCATGTCTTCAAAAACCAACGCCTCGGATTCCCACTTCAGGATTTAATTCATTCTTACCGTCGTCATCTTAATCGGTTCCATCATTGGTCCCATCGATCTATGATATTCCCAACTTATTTTTGGATCACCTCCGATCAAATCCTCAATTTCTTAGAACGTTCTTTTTTCTCCCCCTTGAAGTTGTTGCTACCATGCAAATTATAGATAATAATAAGTGATGCACGTATTATTTGCTTCTGGATCAAGCAAATACCTCTCATTTCCGTGAAAGGGAAATGTAAACCAGGGATGGACCTATCACATGTTGGAATACCGTCCCACTATCTATAAATTTCAAATTTTCATTAGACTTTTTAATATTTGTTATCAATAATATCTAATTTCGCACATTCTGAATTATTTTAAATTCACATTCTCTAAAATTTTTAATATATTTTGTTAATTACACATGTGTGTGCTTCTTTGGGACACCAAACTAATTCCTTTTATCACTAGTTAACAATGCAAAAAGATAAATTTTGCTTAAAAAAATACAGAAAGACCTTAATGAAAATACGGTTTATTTATTAGTTATTAACAATGTACACAGTACAGATGTAACTGTTCGAATCCAAAATAACAACATTTTGTTTTATTTCTGAGGTTGCTCAATGAATTCAAATACAATTTATATTAAATATGTTGGATTAATCACTACGAAAAAATTCTAGAACGTATGTTATACATTGAACTCCATCACTAATTTTATAGGGTAAAATTCATATATGGACATCAAAATATTTTAAATTGGTCTTTTTAAACACAAAACTTTCAAAAGTTACATAATAGGCATTAAATTACATATTTTGTTACAAAATGGACACAACACCATATTTATAATTAATTTTAATTTTACTGTTAATTTTGGTTAAAATTATTCCTATTAAGTTCGTTGATTTGAAAACAAAATAGATAAAAGTAAGCTAAATATTAATTTCTAGTTTCATATTTTAAATATTGAATTTATACAATTTAAATTGCTTGATATGTTATCAAAACTTAAGGATTGTTTCGATTATTTTTATTTAAGTTTAAATATACTTTTCTTATTAATGTGATACTATAATTTTCTGGATGTATTTTTTTTAATTTATGTTTAAACTTTTTAAACAATAGTTAAATGCTTGAATAGCATCACTTAATAAAAATAATTTCATTATTTGATAATTTAATTTTTGGATGTCGAAAATTATAATTTTATTAATAAAACAACAATTAAATAAATAATTAATTATAAAATAATTTAATGAATGAAAAAATTACAAAATTATGTATTTTTAATTTTAAAAATAAATCGTTTTCATATATTTTAAAGAAATTATGAATTTTCTAATTTCTTTTTAAAATTATTACTTAAAAATATCAAAAATAAAATTTTAGTTATAATTGAGGAGCCAAATAAGATTTTTCTCATTAATTTAATATGTTACCTCACCCCTTAACAACATTTAATGGTCGTTACCTATTTTTTAATAAAAATTAAAGTTTAATATTTATTTTGTAACTTTTAAAATTTTAATGACATATATAATCATTTTAAAAATATGTAATGATTATTCTTGAATTTTACTTCATTTTATATTAATATTGCACATCAATTTATTTCATTAGCGATGAATATCGTGTGATATCTTCTCTAAATTCATCCTTATCACTACATCTAATACATGAGAACTTGAAATCATAAAGTACATAAGAGGTTTGTTAATTATTCTCACAGATTTTGTAACTAACCGATCCTTACCTTAAAAAATATATATAATACTATCAATCATTAATACTTTATTTCGTAATTTTATCATCACACCGTAAATTCGGTTCACTATTATTCTTGATTGCAAAAGCAAATTATGTTAATTATCTTTCAAAATTTGCAGACCAATGCAATACGAGCCACATTTTGATTCTTTCAAAATTTAAGAAAAAAAATAAAAATGGAATTGAAAATAATTTATATGTATAGTTTTAATTATAAAAAATAATAAAATTGTAGGAGGAGAGAATCTGGCAAATGAAGGCCACTGATAGCAATTCCTATATTTAAAGCTGTTTATCAATGGATTGAACACATAATCCGGGCGAGCTATCCTCTCCTCCATTTCCGACTCAAATTACTTTCCTTATTCGCTAAGTATCGACATTTTTCTCCATTGTTCTTTGATCAACGAATCTTCTTCTACTTGGAATAACGGGGGAGATTCAGATTAGCAAGGCAAGAAAGAAAACATGATGCTGCAGAAAGTTGCCAGCAATGCATATTCCTGGTGGTGGTCTAGCCATATCAGAACAAAGCAATCCAAGTGGCTTGAACAGAATCTTCACGGTAATCTGAACTTTTCTTTTCATTTTATGATTGTATCAATTCATCTCCAAACGTGAATATGATGATATCACCCTCTATATATATGATAAAATTAGAGAACGAGTAAAAATGCTACCAGTTAATACCCAACAGATTATTGCTTTTTTTTTATTTGACTTGAAAATCACAGATGTGGAGGAGAAAGTCTCTGGCATGCTTGAAATCATTGATGATGATGGAGATTCCTTTGTACAAAAGGTAAATATGTATTATAGAAGGAGACCGGAGCTTTTAATCATTCTTGAAGACACTTATCGAGCTTATCGAGCATTAGCCGAGAGGTATGATCTCTTATCAAGGGATCTACAAAGTGCCAATCGCACCATTGCCACTGTGTTTCCCGATCAAGTTCCATATTCCATTCATGATGAAGATGACGAAAACAGTTGCTTCGCATCGAGTTCTTCGAGGCCGGATACACTGGAGCCATCAAAACCGGGATTGAGAGCTACGATTCCGAAGAAAGATTTTCGGAGCCAGTCGATGTTGGTGTTGAGAAAGGGACAGTTAAAGAAGGCTATTAGTCTGGCTCAAGCTGGTTTGTGTCCGAATTCGGGGTTGAGCAAAGAGGAGGCATTGGAAGAAATAAACAAACTTCAAAAGGAGATTTTAGAAATGCAAACTGAATGGGAGTTTGTGAAGAACTCATATGAGCAAGGGTATAAGAGATTATGTGACATCGAAAATGGCATAACCGAAAAGCAAAAGAGGATATACTGTTTGCAGGATGAGTATGATATCGGATCCGCTATCGATGATAACGAAGCTCGGCTTCTAATGGCAAATCGAGTTCTTAAATCTTGCCAAGAGTCGTTGGTTAAGTTGCAAGAAACACATGAGCAATCAACTGAAGAAGGAAGAGTTGAATCCAAAAGGATTAAGAAAGTAAATGATGCTTTTGAAGCTCTTAGGAGGAAGTTTAATTGCCCACCAATAAATCAGAAGGAGGAGCTAAAAACGGTGAGTTTGTCCACGGATGTCAATAAAATGGTCTACGAATTCGAGAGCTGTGAAAAGGGGAGACAGTATATGGAATCGTTGCAAAAGGAGATTGAAGAGAAGCTCGAATTAAGCTCGAGTGTCTCTCTTACAATGTCACAGCTTGCCGAAAAAATCGATGACCTCATACAAAGAGTTGTTAATCTCGAAAATGCGGTCTTTTCCGAGACTGCTTCAGTAAAGAGATTGAAATCAGATGCTGATGACCTTCAAAAATTCGTCAAGAGCCTCGAAGAAGATGAGTTAGCGCTGGTTGGAGACTCAGACAGCGCAGAACATAGGATTGGTGCCTTGGAGGGGGAATTAAGTAGAGTTAAAAATCTTTTAAGAACTATTATAGACCAAAATAACAGCCTCAAGGCTCATTTCACTGAAGCAAGCTGTAAAATCAATCATTTATCAGTGAATTTACATGCCGTGAAGATGGATGAGGAGGTCGACAATATGGATCTCTCCAAAGAAGGAAAAACCGAGGTGGATGCCAAACCTGATAGTAAAATTGAAGGACATTGTATTGAGTCAGTTCCTGGTAATAGTTCAGCCTTAAAAGACGCCGAGATCGACATGGAAGGGAAGGATGGAGATGACTCTGCTAAAGGAAGAAACGACGTCGATTTGGAATCAGTCAATAAGATTGATGCTGATTCGGAAAAGGGTACGGAACAGATGGATGAATACAAAGCCGAGAAGAAATTCTTGTCCGAAACAGCAAGCAGTACCATTGTTGATTCTGAATCAGGCAATAAGATCGATGCTGACTCGGGAAAGGATACAGAACAGATGGATGATTACAAAGCTGAGACGAAATCTTTGTCCGGAACAGCAAGCAGTACCATTGATACCGAGAATCTGGAATTAGAGACCGATGAAGAAGAGGAGCTGCAAAACTGGAGGAAGCTGTACAAGAGTGAATCGGATGAGAGGGAAAAGGTTTTACTAGATGAGTACTCTTCGGTTCATCGGAATTATAAGGATGTAAGAAAGAAGCTTAAAGAAGTAGATCAGAAAAACCGGGATGGTTACTGCGAATTGGCATCCGAGATCAGAGAACTGAAGAATGCTCTCGCTATCAGAGATGATGAGATTCAATTGTTACGCCAAAAGTCGAACTTTATCGATGAAAATAAGGACGGTAACTTAACAAAATATGAAGCATCCATTACCATGATTAGCCCGGAATCTACATTGTCAGATTTCATTCAGATATCACCAGTAGCAGCAGATGAAGGGAAAGGCGAATCCATTGAGAAAGGGACTGAAAAAACAAGAATAAGATCTTTAACTCGATCCCGTTCTTTCTTAACCCCAGAAGGTAAAATCCGATCGGATATCGATGAATTGCTCGAAGACAACCTAGCGTTTTGGTTGAGGTTCAGCACATCTTTTCATCAGATACAGAAATATCAAACTTCAGTGCAGGACTTGAAAAGTGAGTTATTAACATTGAGAGAAAGAAAGAAGCAAGAACATAATGGAAAAGAGGGACCTATGGGATCGGAAGCACGCCCCATTTATGCTCATTTACGAGAAATAAAAGCTGAACTGACGTTATGGTTGGAAAGCAATGCAGTGTTGAAAGACGAAGTGCAGGGTCGATATTCTTCCCTGTGCAACATCGAAGAAGAGGTATCAAGGATGAGCAATGCAATTGGCCATGAAGGTGAGCCTGAGCTCAACGGGTATCAGGCTGCAAAGTTTGAAGGAGAGATTCTAAGCATGAAACAGGAAAACATCAGGGTTTCGGACGAGTTGAAAGGAGGCTTCCACCGCATGCAACAACTCAAGGAGGAAATAGAGAGTATAATGGCCAACTTGGAGAATGAAATCGAAGCTGCCTCGGCATCAAGGCAACAACAACAATCTGGAACGGGATCACGGCATAGAATCCCTCTCCGTTCGTTCTTGTTCGGAACCAAGTTAAGGAAGCAAAAGGCCTCGTCGATGTTCATGTGCGGGCAGCCGCAATTTCAGAGACAACACAGTTACCTTGCAGATCCTACTGAGCCTTCGTAAGAGACTGTAATTTACTTGACACCATTTGGAAGGTTTCTAGTTTTTTTTACTTTAATTAAAACCCCTTTTCTGCATACTCATAATGGTTTTGGATTCTTAATTTTATTTTATAGTTGTAATGTAGAATTTAAGACATGATTATAGTCCATTGATTCTTTCATTCTCCATTGATATACTTAAGATTATAGTCCGATTTGTGTTTTTTTTAATTCATAATTTAAAAAAAATAAATGTTTAAGTATATGTTTAATCAATATAATGTATATTTTAAGTGATTATCAAATTTTTAAAATTTTAGAATGAAGTCCCTTTTATGACTTGTTTGTTTTTTTCAATACTTAAAATAGAAAAATATCCAAATTACAATAAAAGTTTACAACCATAATAGTAAATTAAAATACATAATAAGAACATTTTCTGATAATTATTAACACAATAAACTAGTTACTTAAGATCACACAATGATCATATAAGAAAAATGTTAACCACTTAATCAAATAAACTTGAATAAAAAGTATATACGAATATTTGATCGCATCGATAAACATATCACAAAAGAGGATCAAACTATTGAAAGACTACCGATAAATTATAATCGAGCAACGTAAGAAACCTATCCACAAACGCAAATCATGTATCCAAATCCAATCAAAGGGTTCAAAGCAAGGAAGATCAACATGATAACAAATGAGTGACATCTTGATCATTCATGGCGATATTAAATCCAAAGAAAAAATGAAGAAATTTTATTTTCTATTACATTTAATAAACTATCTAATAAATACATCAAATTTTAAAATATAAAACATCAAGGAATTTTATTAAACACCCAACTACTCATACAAAACAATCATCACCCTCTTTTAAGAGAGTCCAAATTCAATTTCAACCTTCTCAATCTTGACAAAATAATAATAAAGAATAATTAAGTGAAAATAACAAAATAATTTAAAAAAGCTACACCAACATTGTCGTTAGTTTTTTAATGATAGATAACCAAAATATAAAATATAATATATTATTAATTATGATTTAAAAAATAATTAAGTGATCATAATACAAATAAAATAATAAATGTGTGACTAAATAAATAATTTTTATTTTTAATTAAATGTGGACTTCGTAATTTTGAACTCTAGACAAATACTCTTCCTATCCAGGCCCAACTACAGGCTTACACATAAATCCATATACCTACATTCTTGATCACGTCATTGTATAACGTTCTCTTGGTCAAGGGAACAAGTATTTATCATTTACATAATATTAATATTAAAATAATATTTTGATAGTTTTTACAATAAAGTAAGTTGTCGGAGAGTATCATTAACGATGTTTTTATGCTCGACGAATACGGATGAGTATCATTAATGATGAATATCATTAAATTAATTTATAAAATATTAAATTATAAAATATTAAATGTATATAAATTAGTTGAAAATCTAAATGTAATTTAATTAAAATAAAATATTTATAAAACATTAGTGTTTAGGGTAAACTATACAATTGATCATCTAATTATTTATCTCTTTTACTTTAACCACCGATTTTTTAATTTTGTCAATCGGGTCACCTAACTATTTAAATATTGTCAATCAAGCCACATGTCTTTTAATATTAATGGAGGAAATGAAGTGACAGTTAATAAAATTTTTATAATTACACATTTTGTTCACATTACTTACACATTATATTAATTTGGTCCTAACTTTTATTTAATTCAAAAAAAATTAATCATCTATCCAATGGTGACATGTATCACTATGTGATTAGATTTTTTAATATTTTTAATAAAATTTTCATCCAATCAAATGATGCCACGTGCCATCAATTGAATGAATAAAAATAAATTAAATCAATAATCGTTGATGGTGGGGTTTGAACTTGAGACGCAAGTCAAAAAATTGAGTACCTTGACCATTAATCTAAACAACTATATTTGTCTAGTATACATAACATAATCTATATAATTTATAATCTAGTTAATGGTGATAAATGACCTTATAGAGACTCAAACATAAAATGATTGAATAGTATGAAAAATAAAATATATAAACAAATATTATAATTGATTAATAAATGAATAGTTTTATTTATATTTTAAATCACATTAAATACAAAAAATACAATAAAAAGTGAATTTAATATGTTATAATTGAAATGTATCGTTTTACACATTTTAAATTAATAATTTGTCTTCATTATTCTAATTTTATTGAACTGAAATGTATCATATCTTATATTTTAAATATTATAACGTCGATCGGATTCTAATCTTATTAACAACTTTATATTAAAATAGACTAATTCAATAAAATCAAGTTTACCCTAAAATTTTCTCCAAATATATAATGAACAAATAATAAAATATAAATTTCTTACTCTAACCGGGATATAAACAAGTCAATGCATAAGTTAAAATGCTTACTAAGATAAGCCTTAAACTATCAGAAAAATTCTAAGTTAACGAAGCTCTTCGTTATATTTCAACTATAATATTAAAACTATTTTTATTTTTTCATTAAAATGATTTAATAAAATACATTCACATATTAATCAATTATAATATTTGTATGTGTGTGTATATATATATATATATATATATATATCATATTATCGTATTATTCAATTATTCCATGTTGAAGTTCTTATTAGGTCATTTCCCATTTTTTATTACCATTAACTATATATATTATGTCGTGATAGGTCTGTCATTTGAATGTTGTAGCCCAATGGTTGGGGTGTTTACTTCCTCTCCTCACCTCTTGGGTTCAACCCCACCATAAACAATTATTGATTTAATTTATTTTATATCAATTCAATTGATGACATGTTACACTATTTGATTGGATGGAAAATTTATTAAATTAAATAAAAATATTAAAAAAATCAATTACACAGTGACACATGTCACCATCTGATTGAGGATTAAATTTATTGAATAAATTAAAAGTTAGAACCAAATTAATAGAATGTGTAAGTAATGTGGACTAAATGTGTAATTATACAAATTTTATTAACTACCACATCATCTCATCCGTTAATATTTAACGACATGTGGCTTTATTGATAAGATTTAAATAATTAGGTGACCTCATTGACAAAATTAAAAAATTGATTGTTAAAGTAAAAGGGATAAATAGTTAGGTGATCAATTATATAAATTACCTAAAAACTAATGTTTTATAAGAATTGTATTTTAGTTAAATTACATTTAAAATTTTAACTAATTTATAATTATACGTTTAATACTTTATAATTTAATATTTTATAAATTAATTTAATAGTACTCATCATTAACGTTGCACATCCACGCTCGACGAGCATCGAAGAATTTTTTCAAAAGAAAACCTATTTACCAAGGAAAGAGAAAGAAAGGCTAAAATCCAATTAAAAAAATTAAGGTAAATTATACTAGTGACCACCCAATTATTACCTCTTTTTACTTTGACCAATATATTTGAATTTTTGTCAAGTCACTTAACTATTTAAATGTTCAATAAAACCATTCGCTGTTAGCGGTTAATGGAATTGCTGATGTAGCAATTAATAAAAATAATATAATTACGTATTTAGTCATCAATATTTATATAATTTATCAATTTAGTTATAATTTAATAAAGTTAATCTCTCAATCAAATGGTAACGATCACTACTTAATTAAGTTATATTTAATTTTAATTTAATATATTTTAAGTCCAATCAAATGGTAACACGTGTCCCCATCGATTTGTGTTAAAATGATATCAAATAATTAAATGCGCAGCTGCTGGGGATAGAACTCACGCGCAGTGGAAGGGATGCGTACGGATTTACCATCAAGTCAAACATTACAAGTAAAGTTTTTCAGCATAATTTATATATTATAGGAAAAAGGTAATTTAATGCGATTGAGAGGACTCCAACCTGGGTCATTGTCTGTTTGAGTTGGGAAGCACACAATAGTCTATATATTTTATACTTTAATTTATACCAGAAAATAAAAAAAGAAAAATAGTTATCGAAAGATTCGAACCTAGGCTAAATATAAAACTTAACAGCACAAAATTACTCAAGCAAATTTTACATTTAGTTAATTTTTGGATAGAATATATATATTAAACACTAATTTATAAAAGATTAAAAAGAAAAATTAATTTAAGTTATATATATAGTCTAAAAATTGATACTTTTTAATTTAATTAATAATTTTACTTTTATTAAAAATAAAATAAATTGATTATTTATATTTCAATTAAATTTTTATTGGATTACATAGTTAAAATGTGTAATTAGAAGTCGAATTTAATCATGTGTAAATCTTAAATATAGTTTTTCTTTAATTTTGTATAAACTAATGTTTAACATTTATAATTTAATGATTATATATATAGTCTAAAATTTATAATCATTTTAATTTAATTAATAATTTTATTTTTTATTGAAAAATAAAATATGTGAATCATTTATATTTTAATTATTTTTATTAAATTGCATAATTAAAATGTGTAATTAAGAATCGATTTTAATCACCTGCAAAACTTAAATTTAATTTTTATTTTAATCTTGTATAAATTAATGTTTAAAAATACACAAAATCTATCTAAATATCAATCAAATATAAAATTTATTTGAGTGATTTTTGATGTTAAGTTTTATATTTGGCTTAGGTTTGAATCTTACCATAGCCATTTTCCTTTCATTTTTTTTCTGGTATTAATTAAAGTATAAAATATACATACTATTGTGTATTTCCTAACTCAAGTGGTGAGCTAGGTGGAGTCCTCTCAAGTGCATTAAAATACCTTTCCTTTAAAATTTGTTTGCCATCCATCATTTCATCCAACCATGTCACCTTCTGTTGGAAGAAAAATATAATAAAATTAAGTATATTAAACTATAAAAAATAACCTTTAATCAAACAATGACACATGTCACTATTTAATTAGATGATTGAATTTATTAATTAAATTAAAATTAAGACTAAATTGATAGAATATATAAGTATTGAGGATCAAATGTGTAATTATATCAATTTTATTAACTGTTACATCAGCAGTTTCATTAACTGTTAACAGCAAGTGGCTCGATTGAATACATTTAAATAATTAGGTGTTCTTATTGATGACAAAATAAAAATGATAGTCAAAGTGAAAAGAGGCAATAGTTGGTTGGTCACTGGTATAGTTTACCCAAAAATATAACCACTCCCGTTGATTTAATTAAACTTAATTAGGGTTTTTCGTTTTCACTTTCCTTTCCCACCATTTGTTCCCTGTAATGCTTCAACATCCCAATTTCATCAATGTACGGACAGTCCCAGCCCATTAATGTCTCGGCTCCGATCTCCGACTCCGGCACCGACGTCTGCGACGATGTTTCAGCGTCGGCGTCCGGTGATAATCACCGAAACATTAGTTACGACACTCACCCTCTTGACAACGGCATCGGAGTTGAAGGCGTCACCACCGATCCCCTGTATGCAACAGCCGCAGCTGCTTCAGCCTCTGACTTGGCTATCGTTCAGCGAGCCGACGATGCAAGCCAGCTCACTCTCTCGTTTCGCGGTCAGGTCTATGTATTCGATGCAATTACTCTGGATAAGGTATCGTCTTCCCCTTCAGTTTTTCCCCCCTCTCCCGTTAAGCCAAATTAGGGTTTGCTGAAACGCTTGATTTTTGAAGAACCAAAAGACGACTTAAATTGGAAAGAAATATGACTTCATTTCGCTTAATTTAAGTTGTTAAAGCAACATTGAACATCATACTTCTCATCATTCCTGTTTCTATATTTCCCCCCATGAAATGCACGTTGTAAAGATTTCATTTCGAATCGAATTTCTGCAGTTCCACGCGGTGTTATTACTGCTAGGGGGATGTGAACTGACTTCAGGTCCCCATGGTGTTGAAATGTCATCTCAGAACCTAAGGGTAATTCTCTTAAATTTGTTGAATATAGAAATTGTTTTACATTCTTTGGTTTTTACCCTGTTTTCATTATTAGGGTGGTTTGGACTTTCCGAGATCTAATCAACCACACAGGGCAGCTTCGTTAGATAGGTTTCGTCAGAAGAGGAAAGAGCGATGCTTTGATAAGAAAGTCAGATATGGTGTTCGCCAAGAAGTTGCTCTTAGGTGTGCATTTTTCCTTCCCTGACATGCAGTTAGTTTAGCTGTCTGTGCTTGCAAAAGTTTCCATCAAATTTTGAACTAGAAAGATCCTTTTAGAAATCTTACAATTGATGTTAACAACTTACCCTGGGAATTAATATAGTGAGTATGGCCCTTTTGGGGTTTGAGGAATTACTGAGCATTAACACTTTGAGGAGAGTATGGTTTATATTGTGAAAGTTATGCTGCTGATTGTACTGATAGCTGAAGTAAATGATTTTTATTCACACTTTATTTGCATTATTTTCTTATGGCCCTTTCATTGCTCCTTTTCATGGTTTGTTATGAGAGTTATGTTAATTCTCATGTGCCACTTATCCTTTTCATGTGCTAATTTTCATGGGAGTTTATGTTTTAAATGTTATTTTTATATGTCGCGACACACCTACGAAAATAAACACATATGCTGCACCTTACTTCATTCAAGCAAGCACATTCTTTTTGCATTTTGTGCCTCAAGAATATAAGGGTTCTAGCGCCTTGCACCGTTCATAACTTTGCATTTAATATTACCAAAGTTCAATGGTCAACTCATCAATGGCTTATTTATCCAAAAATATTGTTGATTTAGGGGGTTTTGTTATTGTTAGTAACCGGAAGCGTAAGGTTTAAGCTGTTACAGTCGGGCAAGTTAGGTGCTTTTATACAGAAGAAATGGATGAAGTCGAATAAGGGTCTCTCAAGAGGCAAAAGAAATTAAGAAATTCAAAAAATAGTGAAGAATACTATTTTTCTTCAAAGTTTAATTCACTGCTCTAGGTGCAAATGCAACAATTGGATTACATGGACAAATGAGAATGGATTATACATGTAATAATGATTAAGTAACTGCATAATTTAGAAATATGTATATAGTTGAGTCCATGTAAATTGAATCTTAATATCTGTGGTGGTTTATTTTAACTGAAAAGGAATCTAGAAAAACTCATTAGGGACTGTCCTTCCTCATTGCTAACTTTATATCTGTTCCCATAGTTGCCTAATTTATGTTTTGATTTCTGTGAGTGCTTCAGGATGCAGCGTGATAAGGGTCAATTTACATCTTCCAAGAAGTCTGATGGAACTAAGAGCTCGGGTACTCAGGACAATGATAAAACTATCAGATACTTCGTGAGTTTTATACTGTCTTCAGAGTGTTATTGTTTATATTTTCTTTCTCTGAACTACACTATATTTCTCTCTCTTTTGTAAGGCATTCCATTTACTGACGTCAGTTTCAAAATTTCCTGGTGAATTCTCAATATAAGTTATAATAATTGGAGTTATAATATAATGTCATTTTCTACTTTTCCAGGTGTACTCATTGTGGCATCAGTTCAAATTCCACCCCGATGATGCGACGTGGACCATCTGGTCCAAGGTCTTTGTGCAATGCTTGTGGACTTTTTTGGGCAAATAAGGTTGGCGTCTCTTGTGTTTGATAGTTCACAGTTCTGGGGTAGGGGTAAATTGTTTTTCTGGTTCACAAATGTGGATTGAGAAGGTTTTCCAATGTGCTGTCCAGGAAGTGGCCCATCCACTCTCTCTCAACCCCCTTGTTACATTTAAGTTTTATCCCGTTTCTTTTGGGCATTTACTTTTACATTTGCTTTTAATTTTGCGTGTGTACCAATGCTTTCCCTCTGCAAAGCATGCCTTGTGTTTTGAGTTTCTAACAAAGGAACTTATGCAGGGTACTTTGAGGGATATTCCCAAGAAAACTAGGAATCATTCCTTGACTCTAGTCGAGCACGTAAGTTTCTTAACACATACGCTTATTATATTAGACTTCTCGACCGCCTGTTCTAGTTTACCTCTTTATTTCATTAACATAATCTATGATTTGCATTTTCTTATGACATAGAGAGATAGTGAAGCAAATGACTCAGATCCTGGAACTGCTATTCCTACTGCACAAAGCAATGTAGTTTCTTTCTCAAATGGTGATGGATCTGCACTAATTGCTGAGCACTAATTGTCTGTGCTAATATGGCCATTGTTTCAGGTAGATCTTGATTAGTAGGTTCCTTCAAACTTGTGCTATATGTACAGATATCATAGCTACCTTCATCTGTATACAAGGTTTTCTCCTCCTATTCCTCCGTTTAGGGAACTTTTGCATGAGATTACCTCTTTTAGAGGGAAAAAACCCATTCCGGATGTATTACCTAAAGCTTCATCTATCTTAGCTTTTATAATCTTATAGGCCTTATGCACCGGTATCTTATCCCTCACAAAAAATCATCTTAGATGAACTATCTAAGCCTCCTTTATGTACTAATCAAATGCATATTAGTTGATGTAAAAGATGACTAATCTTTTTCTGTAAAGATTAATTGGACTTCATATTTCATTCCCTTTCTTTGTCAAATCCTTGTTCTAATCTATCAGTTTCCAAGTGGTAGGTGGATCCGTGTAAGTTAAATGCGTGGAATGTGAGTTTTAATCCAGTTGGTTCATATAACTATCGTTAACAGGTAGCTCTCTGTTCTTGGTTGTGCAGATAAATTAAAACTTAGTATTATCTAATATTTTTGTATCAGTTTCACACTTGGGGCCTCTTGTTGTATTGCATTATTGTGATTATAGTTATTTAGTTGCTACTTCTAAAGTAAAACACCTACCGTTATTATAGATAGACAAAATTAAATGTTCTGCTGTCATTTTAATCCAGCCCTTGGAATTCTTAACTAGTTGTTCACCAAAATTGCTCACCACTTTAGGGTTCCATTTGCCTAAGTTTTCCCAAGCTTCAACAATATAGAGGATTATAAGTTGCACTGCATTTTCCCCAAACAAGTTACATTGTCAGTTTATCAGTGTGTATGAATATTTTGTTTGTGTGTGTGTATATATATATATATTGTATTTTTCTCTAATATTTGAATCAGAATTCGTATCTTTAGTCATAAATTTTGAATTCATTTATCAGTTGCATACATGTGAGAATTATCAATCATTCAAATTTAAATTAAATAACATTTTCAAGTAAGTCGATTAACATTTACAGGAATAAGTGAATAACTCAAATCATTTGAAATAAAACTTAAAACAAAGTGAAATGTTTGAATACACTATCCTAAAAAGTAAATTGGATTTAGATAGTGTCTAAACTTGAATTCATCTTTTTTTTATAGAGGCTAAATGGGTATTTGAACTTGAATTCATCTTTTTATATATAGGCCAAAGGGTACTTTACCTTTGAGATCAAGCTACATAATCAATTTATTCACTGTGTGAAAAATACATTTAATTTGGTCCTTGAACTTGTGAATTGCATTATATTATTCTTTTAACTAACGTTGATTGTTCCTGTATTGATACGGTGGTTCAGTATATTGATGTTGTAGTCAATGGTGTTAACACGATAATCCATGATCTTGATGTGTCTGTTCACATGTGAATTATGTAGAGGGATAACATTTGGTCTTTTAAGAAGTTTGAGGGTAACATAGATTTTTTAAGAAGTTTGAGGGTAATATTGATTTTTTAAGAAGTTTAAGAGTAACATTTGTCCTCGAACTTCATAAACTCAAGTATTATCCATATGCTATATCATCATTCACATTTCGTCTGCGACATTAACACTATTTACTCAAATATTAAGGGTATAGTAACAATTTATCCTTGGTGTTAAATAGATGTAATCTGCAAGTTAGAGGGTCAAATTGGGCGTTTTAGTGTGAAAGACTAAATTAAATATTTGGTTATAATGTAAAATTCTTAGTTTTATATATTATTAGAATCGTTGGATGAGGGTTTGTTAATGATTTTTCATTTTCTATTATTAATTTTAACTGTCTATTTTTTATTTATTTAAAGATCTTAAAATAATGTAAAATTAAAAAAATCTTACACGGGGTGAAAAATTCTTATTTCTATATGTATATTTAAGTATAAAATTCGGAAAGTGAACATTTACAATAGTCACTATTTTTTTAAGGAGTCTACACTTTTATCTCGTTAAAAAATATTTTTATTTTAATCATTAAAAATAAATATTGAACGTGAATGTTGAAAATCAAACTTGAGACCTTGAATAAAAGATCTCAATGCATATTCTCTATAACAATTTGAGTCTGGACGGTCAATAATAATTTTTTTATGTTAAAATGCGTTGAAATTAATTATATTTATTTTATAAAAATATATTTATTACGTTAGTTAATATATATTTATCACGATATTTACGTTTCTCGTCTATTTTATATGATTAATATAATAGTAATTTAAAATTTTAACGTTTATACATTGTTAATTTGATTTTAATTCAAAAATAATAATAACATCACATAATTTGTACATTCAATAATATTAGAGATTAAATTTATTAAGGATTCAAATCACATGATGTGTGAATGTGTATAAAAAAATATCATCTAAATTTGCCTTATGGGTAACTTTTACTCCCGTAGTTGACTCAATTTATCATTTTCACTTATATTGTATTTTAGCATCAATTTAGCTCTTAAAGTTGTTTAATTGCATCATTCTATACTCTACTCATAACTTAAAACCTTAAATTGCTAACCCTAAACTATAACCCCTAAACCCTAACCTTAATCTCTAACTTAAACTCTAAATTTAAGGTTTTTAGTGAAGGGTAGGGTATATAATAATGCAATTTAGCAATTTTGAGGGTTAAATTGATGTAAAAATATGGTAGGGGCGAAAATGATAAATTGTATCTACTACAGGAGTAAAAGTTACCCTTTTACTTTGAATTTTATAAACGAATTAAAAGGAATAAAACAAAAGTTTGAGTTTATTAATATTAAAATTGATTTTTAGTAAAAAAGGATAAAATAATTCATATGAATAATACAAAAGAAAAAAAACTATGAATTACTTTATAAGATTATTTTAAAAATAATTGAATATTTAGAAGGGAAATTATATTTTAATTGAATATATTAAAAGGTTATATAAAAGAATTTCTCTCTATATCTATGAAAAACATAATTAATTATTTTAAAAGTGTATTTTGATAATCACCTTTAAGAGCTAATAAATTAATGTTTAGACTTGTGCTGCTTCTTCTGGTACTGGACGGGGCAGTGAAGATAAATGTAGATGGTGCTTTCACTCAGAGTAATCACTCTGGTTTGGTGGTGGCTGCAGCTTCTGTCCCACTCTCTCCAATGTGTGGTTGAAGGTACATACCAGTGTATTCTTCGAGAGTGATGCATGTAATCTCGTTGCTCAGTTATTAGGATCTTTCTGTCGTTCGATTTCATCTTCATCAACTGCTGCTTGCTCATCCCCCTCTTGTTTTGCTCATTCGGCTAATATGGCTGTTTCATCCTTATCTACTAATTGTAGACACTTATTTTCGTCCGGTCTACAAAAAATATTATATTATTATATTATATTATTTATATTATTATTATTATTAATTTTTATTATTATTAATTTTGCAGGATTTTTGCCCAACTCCCACCATTCCACAAAATATTATTAACTATCCACTCTATTCCATCATGCCAGCCACTACCCACTAACTAAGAAATCCCATTTCTTTTTGCTTAAAAGGGGGAACTGCACAAACGTAAAGGGGGATGGTTCCTAGTTTGTAGGAATTTGACTTGCAGTTGGGGACCACGATCCCCAGGATTTTTCTACTCTCTACCATTTTTATTTGCTCTCATTCTCTTCCCAAGTGGGGACACTCACTCTTCTTGCTATACATTGATGGAATTTGCTTGGGTGAAAGGGGGAGATGGATCATCACGAAGATGAATCTCAGGCTGGAGGTGAACACCATGGAAAACAAGACGATGAGGAAATCGTTGCTCGTCTTGAGGAAGTTAAGAAATCTATTGAGGGCAAAATGGCTCTTCACCAAACCAATTTGAATCCTGAAAGGCCTGACTTTGGATTCCTCAGGACTTTGGATTCTAGTATTAAACGCAACACAGTTGTGATAAAAAATTAAAGCTGATAAGTGAAGAGCAGAAGGAAGGATTGATAGAGGAGCTACGGAGTGTCAATTTAAGTAAATTTGTTAGTGAAGCTGTCTCTGCTATTTGTGATGCCAAGCTTAAGAGTTCGGATATACAAGCCGCAGTTTAGATCTGCTCTCTGCTTCATCAAAGGAACTTGAAGGCCATGAAGAAAGTTGTTATCATGGAGGCTATTGAAGAACTGGGGCCCGAGGGGATTTAATGGTGAATTTTCTCCATCACTTATATTTATGCGTTTTATATTGTTATCTTTCAAGTTTAGGAAAAGCTATAACATGTTTTCTGACATTAGTTCTAAAAAACCCTTTAAATATGTTTGCACATGGACATGTTTTAATAGTCAGACTCATTTATTTCATGTAACCCACGTGTATTTGAGATTATTATTATTGTATTAATGTTTTTTTCTTTGTTCATATTTATTTTATTTTATAATCTAACAATATTTTGACTTTAGGGATACTTTTCAACCAATTAAAGGTAAATAATTTAAATCGAATAATTTTAATTTTAATTTTAATTTTTAATTTTCGCAATTAAAGACAACCGAAAAATTAATTGGTACCGAAAGGGCAGTTCAAGGTGCTAATCCTTCCTTGACCGTAACCGACTCCCGAACCCGACACGTTTCTGGTACAACGCAGATCAGGTAAGAAATAAGGTATCCGGTCAACCTATTTATTTATTTTTAAAATAAATGATCGGTGACGACTCCCAATCCACATTTTTCAAGTCGAAGCCCAATTCCGGGTCCACCCGAAAGACGGTTGCGACAGCTTGGCGACTCCACTGGGGACAGGTAAGAGAGTCACGCCGAAATTAATTTTGGTTGTCTTTTATGCGAAAATGTTAAATTTTAATTTTTATTTATTTATTCGATTCCAATTATTTATCTTTGATTATTTTTTTTTTCAAATAAATAGTTGTACTAATATTTTTTAATGATTTCAGATTTTTCAAAGTTTTCATCTCAGGCTCTATACCCGAGCTCCAAACCCTATTTAAGTGGAGGTGAAAGCGACGCCTTCGTGTGAATTTATTCACCGTGCGGGCCTAGGAAATAGCCTTCGGAATTCATATACCTTATGTCTTCGTGTGGATTTATTCACCGTGCGGGCATAAGGGAATGTGTCCTCTCGAGTTTAACTTAGTTCACACAAGCCTGTGATGGGCTTAGGACTAAGGGTCTGGTAAGCACAAGGGGGCATCGGTAAGGAGAACTCGAGTACCTTTTTTAGAACCTAAACCGGGAAAGTACAGGGAATAAGAGCCCACCCCAAAACCTCATTCCAAACCCTATGACATTTTGTTTCCTGCTTTATTTTCTGTTCAAAGCATGCGAACTAGATAAATATGCGGTTAGAATTTGTTTGAAGTTAGCATACGGGATAGAAATCATGTCCGGGTAGGAATATTAAGCATGTTCGGGTAGATATCATGTGGGGTAGGATCTTTCATTTTATTATTGATTTGATTTACCTCACTAACTCTTTTTTTTTGTTCTCTTTCATTTTGTTCTCATCATTTGCATCATTTAAAAGAGGTGTTGATCCACCAAAAATGTGTTTGTTAAACATGAATAGTCTGCATTAATGGACAAAGGGGTTGTAATACAAGAGATGAAAATGCAAAGGACAATCTACAAGGCGACTATGTGGTCCCCATAATTGAAGAGTATATCACTCTGGTGCATTATAAAAGACTCAGGATGAACTGGGTATACACCAAGTAATGAAAGTCTATCTTTGAAGAATTGACTGCCAAATGTTGCAGAGCAAAACGAGAAAAAGGTTACAGACCCGGACGCTCCTTTCGAAAACTGCGAGATCAAGATGGCAAAACCCTAGCTAAGCTGGAGATCATTATTGATAAATTCTAGAAACAAGTCGATAAACTTTGGGTGGAGGGCTCCGATGGCACTTTCGTTTGGAACAAGCTCGACATAGAGTGAAAGTCGGCGATGCAGTCCTTCGAGACCTTTTGGGGGCAAGCAACTCGCTATTTGCACATTTTATCCAAAGGAGCTGGAACGGTTTGACAGGGTATTCAACCGGTGACAGATGAAGGCAGAAGAGTAGTCAACCTATCAGAAGCTGTTCGGGGTCTATGCCTTCAAAATATTTTTGTCTCTTAAGACGTAACACTTTTGCCCCAATAAGGATTATTTATAATAACAGGTACATTTTTTGGATTAATGCCTCGAACATTTCATGCATCATGCATTCAGACATATTGTGCATTTTGTTATTTTTCTTTACATTCGCATTATTTTCTTTTTTTTACATTCACATGTCTCATCAAAAATAAGAACATTTGATCCTATGACATATAACGAGCTTTACCAACAGTTGTTTGATGCACACGTGGTGTCACCATATCCAAAGAAATCCATGAAACCCCGTACCCTAGGTAGTATGATGAGAACTCTCATTGCGAAAATCATAGCGGAGTCCCAGGGCGCACTGTCGAGAATTACTCCACAATCAAGAGAATCATACATAAAATACGTAACAAGAATCGGATCGACTTCAACAACTTGGGGGCATCCAAGTGAGAAAGACCATTTCATCATTTGAGACATTTTGTTTGAATTGTTTTTTTTCCATTTTTTTCTCAAGTTTTTGTAAGGACTTTTAAATAAATTTATGTTACTTTAAAGATGTTAAACAATGAATCACATTTGCAAACTTGCAATTCTTTGAATATCATCTGAATTAAGAAACTCTGAAATGGTTCAAAGTTACATATCTTTGACGAAGTAACATGATTTAAAACAAGGAATTTGACTTTGCCCAGAATATACACTCAAACACCGTACCCTGCTCTTGTAATTAACCAATATAACATTTTCCTTTCATAAGGTACGGACAACATGGAGCATCCTTTTGCATATGACATTATTATACTTTTTTTTTAAGACGTCCAGTGATGATAATGATCTTCACAGATGGAATAGTCGAGTAAGTGAATCTAGTTTAAGTCAGTTGCTTGAAAATTGAACTCTAAAGATGAAATTTTTTTACTTTCAACAAACACCTAGACTATAACAGATTCTTCTTGACAATCTTAAGAAATTAAATCCGTAAAACTGAGCTATTCCACTAAGGCAATTGGTTACAGAGGAAACTCGAAAGCCCTGGCTTTATGAATAGATTGTATTCAAACCATGACATTGCTCGGACACTTGGCAATTCGGTGTTTGCTCCACTGCTTTTGTCAGGCCGAAGACTTTGTGATGAGATGAACCCTTCAGTTAAACCTGATAAAAGTGATTATAATGTTAAGCTGTCCCTCTAAAGTAATTGGTTAAACGCCCCGACTTTATGGATTCAGCTAGCCAGACAATGGAAAATTAAATCAAATTTATCTGAGCAAGAAATTTTCGATAATGTTGGACTAAGGGAGTTAAGGAACACCTGTTATAGTCGACTACACACGAGCACTCAAGAATTTCATTTTTAGACCGATATTTTTCGCACTGCCTTTGTTGGAGGAGCCTACAAAGCTTGAACAAATGGAAGATTTCAGAGGACCGAAATAAAATGTCTAGTAATTGGTCATTCTAGTTGCGTCATTATGTCCGCACCCAAATGAAATGCCAAAGCATATTTCGATATTTAAAAAAATGACATTTTGGGTTACCAAAACCTTAGAAAGGAGGCTAACCTAAAGCCAACTCATCCATTTGAACATTTGTCAAAGATTTGTAACTCTGAAAGCATTAAAAGAGCTCTTGATTCCTTTGATATTTTTTGAACTCACATTTACAATTTGATTCAATTGCGAACAATATTTTACAACATTTTTATCATGTCTCTCTCCTAAAACAAGAAAAAGGAGAAAAACATTTTCAAGCAGAACAATCTCAGATATGAAAGGTCTGTAAAGCCAAAGCTCGGGAAGCAAATGGGGCACGATCCATTCCAAGGACCTGATTGACAGACAAAGCACGAGACTCCATCCAGAAGATAACACATAATTCATTCATATTGCATGCATCTTAAACATACTTAGGTGCAGCACATTCATCATTTTAGCATACACGTTTTTGCAGCTTTTAGAGTCAAGTTTTGACTTCAGGATGAAGGATACTCGATTCTCAAGCGCCTTCAAAGAAGGATGGTGGTTGATTAACTCGACAGTAAGAAGCTACACCTCAACCGACTTGACATCTTAGAACCAATTTCAGATAGGTTCGAGAACCAGTTCAAAACAAATCCAGTTCGACACAAACTCAACCATGAGCAGTATGTTTCCAGTTAACACTTTCAAGCCAGATTTCAATTCCACGACGAAAGATATTCGGCTCACAAAATTTGGCGAAAGGGCCATTATTCATTTAAAGGAAATTTACAGCACAACTTAAGTCAAGAAAAGTTATCTGTCAACAAATAACTTTCCAATTTCATTCAGAGTCTATTTCAACTTCGCAACGAAGAAAATTGGACTCCAGACAACGCAAGTTCAACTTCACGACGAAGGGACCGCTGGTTGTTAATAAACAATTTTCCAATACTAGAGCCAATTTCAACTTCACAGCGAATGATAGTGGACTCCAGACAACACAAGTTCAACTTCACGACGAAGGGACCGCTGGTTGTCAATAAACAACTTTCCAATTTCAGAGTCAATTTCAGCTTCACAGCGAAGGATATTGGACTCCAGACAACGCATGTTCAACTTCACGACGAAGGGACCGCTGGTTGTCAACAAACAACTTCTCAATTTCAGAGCCAATTTCAACTTCACAACGAAGGATATTGGACTCCAGACAACGCAAGTTCAACTTCACGACGAAGGGACCGTTGGTTGTCAACAAACAACTTCCCAATTTCAGAGCCAATTTCAACTTCACAGCGAAGGATATTGGACTCGAGACAACGCAAGTTCAACTTCACGACGAAGGGACCGCTGGTTATCAACAAACAACTTCCCAATTTCATAGCCAATTTCAACTTCACAGCAAATGATATTGGATTCTAGACAACGCAAGTTCAACTTCACGACGAAGGGACTGCTGGTTGTCAACAAACAACTTCTCAATTTCAGAGTCAATTTCAACTTCACAACGAAGGATATTGGACTCCAGACAACGCAAGTTCAACTTCACGACGAAGGGACCGCTGG